TGCATACAGCAGTGACAGAGCTAGACTTTTTAGAATTGGTGTGCAAATTTTTTAAAATCAACTAACAAAATTTTTCAACAAGTACGGTTTATTTGCATCCTTCTCAACCTTACAACTTTACTATCAACACCATCAACAAAATTTTTTTACTAATTAAACACAAAGAGTCTAGAAAAAGAATTTTCTAGTTTAAGCTACTTTAAAAAATACACGATAAATTCTATTGACTAAAATAATATTTTTTTAATAAATGAGTCGAGATTTTACTAAACACACATCACACATCAGAAAATACAAATAATTTATTAATTTTGCTTAAATTTAAAGTCATTTTAGTTTATTGGTTTTTCTACTTTTTTATTTTAATGAATGTATGTTAAAGTTCTTTAGTTTTGATAAAAAAAGCGTGAGAATTCTAATAAAAAATTATCTCCCGATTGACCTATGAAACTATATTAAAATAAATCCCTTATGAACTTTTTTTTTTTTCAAACCTCCTAATAACCTACTTGGGAGGAAATGAAAAGGTTAATTGTATATAACTTTTTCTTCTAATTCTTTTAGTAGAAACTCATTTAAAATATTATTTTATATTAATACAAATATATATTCAAATTAAAGTTTTAGTAAATTTAATACTTTTTTTGTCTCAATTTATATGACACGTTTAAAATTTTAAAATTCAATTTCCTAAACTGTAACTGCGAATTCGGAACTAGAAGCTTAAGTTTTTTGAAACCAAATTTATATATTTACAAATTACATAAAAAATGTAAATCACAATAATTAACAACTTAAAGTATTGTAAAGACATAAAAAATCGATAAAAGAAATTAAGTTGACTCTTAAAATTTTAACAATATCACATAAATTTAAACAAAAAATATAATTATCAAATAAGTAGTATATAATGGCTCATAAAAAAAAGCAAAATATAACAAATAATTACAAAAGAGTTAAAAAGAAAGCTAAACAGGATTCGGAGTCCCTATCAACAACACTTTTAGTCACCCTTTCCGCTACGCCAAAGGTTCTTCCAATAACAAGAGTGTGCAAAATAAATTATTTATTTGGTATTTATAAATTTTAACTTACATAAACACATAATTTTCCGACGAGGCACTTGCACACCCTTAATAGGTTGTAGCTCCGCCCCTGACAAATAGGTTACATGAGGAACAAGAAATGGTGTTGAAATTTGTATTCTATATATACCTCATAACCATGCTTTGGACCTAATTTGTACAATTCAATATCATAGGGAAGTGCGAGGTATCACATATGTTCACAAGTTCAAAAAGTATGAGTGAAGAAGAGATGAATAGAGGTCGATCATTCACTTTTGAATTATTTAGAAGAGTAAGGTACACTAAATATAATGTGAAATTTGTGTGAATTGGTTGCTCTTCCCCGCTTATTTAGATATTGAGTGACAGCTAGATTTAGATATCAAATTATTTCAATTGTAAGATGATGGGATAAACTTATCGATTACTATATTCATTATAATGCAAATATCTCCTTCAGGTAAGCAGAGGCGAATTTAAAATTTGAGAACTCTGGTACATCAATATTATTTTAATTTAGGAGTTAGAAAAACATTTATCTCCTCTGCACTCATACTTTTTGAACTTGTGAACATATATCATACCTCGTACTTTCCTATGACATCAAATTGTACAAATTAGGACAACATGTTGTACGTGAGATGATATCAAAGAGGAATTTCAGCAATATCTATTTTTTGAATGTAGATTGTAGATGGACAATAAGAGTGCAAGAAGAGCTGGAAAGATGGTCAGGATGCAGAGTGAATAAGGATCAGGTGCAACCATGTTTAAGTTGGATAAAATAGAGAAATTAGAGACAATTCAAAAAGGAGCTAACAACAATAATTTTGGGGTCAAAGAGCTATCACACATGGAAGGTAAGGAATTGGGAACACTTCAAGGGAGTAGAATAGTTGTTGCACAAATAAAGGAGATTATTGAAAGGATAGATTAAGTAAAAGGCTCTAGGAAAGATAGGAAATGCAGTAGTTAAGTTCAAAAATATGTAACTAGTTGTTGTTTTTCTTACAGGTTCTAAGACTTGAGATGTGTAACGACCTGTTTTCGTCGTTATAAAAGAGCAAATGAGGAAAGAATTGGGGCCAAAATTATTTTTTTTTAGTAACTTGGAAATTGTAGCCTAGATCAAATTCGGATGAAATCTGAGTCAGGTAAGGTCTAGGGAAATTTGGTAATGAGTAGGGGATCTAATTTTGATTTTGATCACATGAGTGGATAGCTAAGATGTTAAGGAGCCCGTACGACATTACGGAATCGAATTCGAGCGAGTAGAACTCCCGAAACTGATCTTGGTGTGAAAAGGTAATTTTTGAACGTCAAGGGTTGAAGGTGTATTGTGAAATGGGGGCTTGAAATTCAAATCCCGAGGTTCTGTCTCTGTGTAAGCCGCCATGGCGGGATTAATTCCATTAGGGCGGGGCCGCTATAGCGGGCCAGTCGCGACTTAAGTCGGAGAAAAACCCCAATTTCGTTATTTTTCCGCAAACTTCTTTCTTAAGAGTTAGGAGACGACCCAGGATGATTTCTTGACAGTTTTCCACGACTTTTGGTGCTAAAGGTAAGGATTTTACTCCCCTAATCCGTTTTTCGATCTGTAGAACTTAGATTCTTGGGTAATTATTATTAAGGGAGGGTTTTGGTCTGAAATTAATGGTGGGAAAAACCCTAACTACACTTAGGATCATGGGTTTGGTCTTGAGTTATTGGGTTTGTTATAATTCGGGTAAATTAGACCTTAATTATTGATCATTGCATTGTATTAATTATTTGTAGACCTAGAACAAGCGGAAAGAATCTGGAAAGGAAAGACTCAAGTATCTTAAGAGGATTCAAGCTTGGTTTCGAGGTAGGTGATGATTTTATTTCTTGTTTGTGTGCATGCATGTATGAGAACAAGGAATGTAAATCGAATTTAATGCAAATAAGTATATGTATATGAATAATTACATGCCATGAAACCATTGCTTGATTGTATGACTATGAGCATTATTCTTTATGGGTGTGATTGTGATTGTGGTTGTGCTGACTGGATCTGGTGTCACGTTCCGACACATATATTGGATCATGTGTCACGTTTCGACACACTTATTGGATCGGGTGTCATGTTTCGACACACTAACAGTTTGGGTATGAGTTCCATGAGAGAACTACTTGTGATTGCTATGCTTATGTCAACTTGTCATTGATAATGAAAGATTGTATGTTGCTCTAAAATGATAAATAAAATGTATTATATATATGTGTGCTTACTATGTTGTGATTAATTGTTGTATATTATGCTTATGGGAGTGGTCGCGTGATCTTACCAATACACAGTGGTTGTGTATTGATATTGCACTAGCTCTTTTTTTGTTGAGTACAAGGCATCTTCAAACGGCTACTGACAGACCTCATTTAGGAGATCATGTATCTAGACCGAATTCAAGGGTGAGCCAGTTCTTCCAGGATGCCATGGATTTTCTTATGTTTAGTCCATTCTCTTCGGACTTAGACCTAGTTCTTTAGATATTTGTTATGTTTTAGCTTACGGGATTATGTCCCTTGTTCTTAGACTTATCGTTGGTAGAGTTTTTGTACATTGACTTTCAGGTTCTAGGGGTTATTTTCCGCAATGTTGGTAGTTTATTTTGTTAACTTTCAGAGTTTATGGGAACTCCAGTTTTCTTTAGACATTTAAACCTGTTTTCATATCTTTTAATGTTCTGGTTTTCATTAAGTCGTGTAGCTGGGTTGTAGTAATTGTTCTCCCACCAGAGGGTTAATGTGGGTGTCAATCACGACGGTCTGGGTCGTGACAAAGTTGGTATCAGAGCCAGGGGTTCGTTGATCTCTTTGTACCAAAAAGAGTATAGTAGAGTCTTGCGGAACGGTACAAAGACATTTGTACTTTTCTTCTAGAGGCTATAAGACTTTAAGAAATCTCTTTGTTTTCTCTTGTCTCATTTAATGCTATAACTTGATTCCAATTGGTATTTGACGATCTAAATTGGTATCTAATTTCCTTCACTCTTCTGTCCGCAGATGGTTAACACTAGATTCAACAGCACCGGGCCCATAGCTCCCGTCAATGAGGAGTCTACAGCCAGAGGTCGTGGTCGAGGAATTGGTAGGGGAAGAGAAAGGGGCAGATGCAGGGGAAGAGTGGCAACCGCTAGAGGTGGAGCCCCAGCTGAGAACGTTCTAAGGGAAGAGGCCCCTCAAGAAGAGCTAGAAAAGAATATAGAGATTGAGAACGAGGGGGATGTTGGACAGGAAGAGGATGCACCAGCTAGGAATACCGACGTTCCTCTCTTAGAACCAGTGTTAGCTCAGCAGATCATGTCTTTTCTGAAGGGGTTGGTTGGCCCTGGAGTCCTTCCCGCAGTGCAGGTTGCTCAACCTCCAATCAACCACCTTGTTACTGTTACTACTCCCAGGGTAGATGGAGCGTTAGGCACTGATGCCTTCTTTCGTCCTTTGTTGGGTCCCATGATGACTAGTAATGAGCATGAGATGTTGAATAAGTTTTTGAAATTGAAGTCACTTGTGTTCCATGGTTCTGAGAGTGAAGTCGCCTATAAACCTTATTGGGAATATGACCGAACCCTTGTGGCGCCTACGTATTCCGTTGAGGCAGGAATCAGGTCAAACGTAGTTCCCACTCGAGAAGTGACAAAAAAGAAAATTTTATGAGGAAATGACCGAGGCCGACATAGGCCGCCTACGTATCTCATTCTCGAGAACTCAGGTCGAACGTAGTTCAAGTACTAAGAAAACATTACAAATTGATAAAAAGGGTGACCGAGGCCGACATAGGCCGCCTACGTATCTCATTTTTTAGAATTCAGGTCAGACGTAGTTCATTGCAAGAGGGATAAAATCTAAAACGACGCGATTACAAGAAAAATAGAACAATTACAAGGAAATGACAAGAAAATACAAACTGAAGTTTCACACATAGTATCTCTTAACGGCATCTGAATTGATAGCTTTGCGCCACACCTGACCGTCCATCTCCGCTAGAACCAAAGCTCCTCTTGATAGTACCTTGTGGACAACATACGGTCCTTGCCAGTTAGGTGCAAACTTTCCTTTGTATTCGTCTTGATGAGGGAAAATGCGTTTCAACACCAATTGGCCTACCTCAAATGTTCGAACTCTTACTTTCTTATTGAAAGCACGAGTCATTCTCTGTTGATACAACTGGCCATGACAAACGGCACTCATTCTTTTCTCATCAATCAATGCCAATTGCTCATATCGGTCACGAATCCATTCGGCATCGCTCAATCCAGCTTCCTAAATAATCCTTAAAGATGGTATCTCAACTTCAGCTGGTATCACTGCTTCTGTTCCTTATACCAATAGGTAAGGAGTTGCTCCAGTGGAGGTTCGGATTGTGGTGCGGTAGCCTAGCAAAGCATAAGGCAAATTTTCATGCCAACATTTGTAGTTGTCAATCATCTTTCTCAGTATCCTCTTGATATTCTTATTAGCAGCTTCTACAGCTCCATTCATTTGAGGACGATATGCAGTTGAATTACGGTGGGTAATTTTGAATTGTTCACATATCTCTTTCATCAAGTGACTATTCAGATTTGCTCCATTGTCTGTGATGATAGACTCTGGAACTCCAAAACGACATATCAAATTGTTGCGAACAAAATTGGCCACAACTTTCTTTGTCACAGCTTTGTAAGAAGCAGCTTCGACCCACTATGTGAAGTAATCAATGGCGACCAAAATGAACCTATGACCATTGGAAGCAGCAGGCTCAATCGGTCCAATAACATCCATGCCCCAGGCTGCAAATGACCAAGGGGAACTCATCGCATTGAGCTCGTGGGGTGGTACTTTGATCAGACTCCGTGTACCTGACATTTATGACATTTTTGGACAAACCGGCCACAATCATTTTCCATAGTCATCCAGAAGTATCCTGCCCTTAAGATTTTCTTTGCTAATGTAAACCCATTCATGTGCGTCCCACACACTCCAGCGTGCACTTCTTCAAGCAATTTTGTGGCTTCTACAGCATCCACACATCTCAGTAATCCCAGATAAGGTGTCCTCTTATAAAGAACTTCTCCATTCAAGAAGAAGTTGTTTGCCATTCTTCGGATTGTTTTCTTTTGAATACTTGTTGCTTTTTCTGGATATTCGCCAGCTTCTAAGTACTTTTTTACATCGGTATACCATGGATTCCCATCCCATTCTGCTTCCACATGTGAACAATGTGCTGGTTGTTCTTTTAAAACTATCTCAAGTGGATCGATATAACTTTTTTCTGGGTGTTGTATCATGGACGATATGGTTGCAAGGGCATCAGCAAGCTCGTTTTGTATTCTCGGTGTGTGTCTGAACTTGGTCTTCCTAAATCTTTTGCATAATCTCTGCACCAATTGTACGTATGGTAAGATTTTAGGATTCTTCACCGCCCATTCTCCTTGAACTTGATGAATCAACAAGTCTGAATCACCAATTATCAGTAATTCTTGAACATTCATGTCAAGAGCCATTCTAATGCCAAGAATACACGCTTCATACTCAGCCATGTTATTAGTACATCGGAATCTAAGCTTTGCTGTTGCTGGATAATGTTGCCCCGATTCAGATATCAACACTGCTCCAATTCCTGATCCTATAGAGTTTACTGCTCCATCAAAGAACATTCTCCACCCAGGATATGATTCTGATATGTCTTCCCCTACAAACAATACTTCTTCATCAGGGAAGTATGTTATAAGTGGTTCATATCCTTCATCTACTGGGTTTTCAGCAAGGTGATCTGCCAAAGCTTGCCCCTTGATTGCTTTCTGAGTCATGTACACAATATCGAACTCACTCAACAATATTTGCCACTTTGCTAGCTTTCCTGTGGGCATTGCTTTCTGAAATATATACTTGAGCGGGTCCATCCTCGAAATGAGATGTGTTGTATAAGCTGATAGATAATGTCTCAATTTCTGAGCAACCCAAGTCAAAGCACAACAAGTTCTCTCTAAAAGGGTGTAACGGGCCTCATATGACGTGAACTTCTTGCTCAAATAGTATATAGCTTTCTCCTTTCTTCCGGTCTCATCATGTTGTCCCAACACACACCCGAATGCATTGTCAGAGACAGATAAATACAATAGCAAAGGACTGCCTGCACGTGGTGGCACCAACACTGGTGGATTCGAAAGGTAACTCTTGATGGTGTCAAAAGCCTTCTGACATTCTTCGGTCCATTTGGTTGGCGCATCTTTTCGTAGTAACTTGAATATGGGCTCACATATCACCGTCGATTGAGCTATGAATCGACTGATGTAATTCAGTCTCCCCAGAAAACTCATTACTTCCTTCTTAGTCTTTGGAGGAAGTAAGTCTTGAATTGCCTTGATCTTGGAAGGGTCAAGCTCGATACCTCTTCTGCTAACTATGAATCCGAGTAACTTTCCTGCAGGCACTCCAAATGCACATTTGGCTGGATTCAACTTCAAATCATACCTACGTAACCTGTTAAAGAACTTTTCCAAGTGTGTCAGGTGATTCGAACTCTCGCGGGATTTTATGATGACATCGTCCACATACACCTCAATTTCTTTCTGGATCATATCATGGAAAATGGTGGTCATAGCTCTCAATAGGTGGCTCCAGCATTCTTGAGGCCGAACGGCATCACTCGATAATGGTAGACTCCCCAAGGTGTGATGAATGCTGTTTTTTCTACATCTTCTTCATCCATTAGAATCTGGTGGTATCCCGCAAAGCAATCTACAAAAGATTGCAGCTCATGCTTAGCGCAATTATTGATGAGTATGTGGATGTTTGGCAAAGGGAAATTATCTTTCGGACTTGCCTTGTTGAGATCCCGATAATCCACGCATATCCTGATTTTTCCATCTTTCTTTGCCACTGGAACAATGTTAGCCAACCAAGTGGGATACTTGGTCACTTCAACGACTTTTGATTCGATCTGCTTCATGACCTCCTCTTTTATCCTTAAACTCAGATCGGGCTTGAACTTTCTGATTTTCTGTTTTACTGGACAGTACTCTGAATTGATAGGCAGCTTATGGGAAACAATATCAGTGCTTAACCCTGGCATATCATCATAAGACCAGGCAAACACATCGATGTATTGTGTGAGCAGTTTGACCAATTCTTCTCTTTCTGTTGCTGCCAAATGAACACTGACTCGGGTTTCTCTGATCGACTCGTCATCTCCTAAGTTTACTGTCTCTGTTTCATCCAGGTTGGGCTTTTTATCGTCTTCAAGTTGCCTCAAGTCCTCGGTAAGGTGTTCAGGCATCATAGTTTCCTCATCATATTCTTCACACTCATTGTCATCGACCTTACTTGGTTCGCCGTGTTCGTGACATGTCATGACATTGGCAGGTTTAGATTCATTTTTACTGAAAAGAACAACAAATCAACCATGTTAGATGGAAAGAGTTTAAATGTATTTGTTGCAGAATAATTCGCAATGACAAGATAATCAATTTAAAATAAACGAGGCTTTCATTGGAATTTTAAAAAGGCGTACAAACTTTGGTCATGACTCATGAGTCATTTCCTTTTTAAACATTACGATGAAAAATAAAGTGACATAAATGGTGGTTTCGGGCCTCGTCCGAACAACACCGATTTTCAAAAATAAACTTCAAATCTTGTCTTTGTCTACCAAGCGATTCGATGGATCATAAGTGGAGTGGCCATCCAATTCTGCAGCATCTCTCCAGGTCCGGCATCTCGGATGGTGGGTGTTGTTGTGTATTCTGTCGAGATCATAGCACAATCTTCTTCATCAAACAATCTTCCCATCCCTTCCACTAGACCATCAATCTCAGGCTCTAAAGTTTTAGCAACAAATGACTGGTACAAAACTGGAATAGGCTTCGGTATATCACAGTCATGTTTCTTCCTTGTTTCTGCTTCAAACAATTCTTCCTCTGTTGGGGCATAATCGATACCGAATCGAAAATTTTGAAGTGGTATAGGAAGAGGTTCGGATATGCCATCCAAATTCTTACCTAACCCACACCCAGGTTCAAAACCACTTCTCAGCATAGTTGTGGCTAGCATTTTATACATTTGCGGCATTGGTACTTGCAATGTCGTATCTTCAAAAGTAGCATTCATTATCTCCACCATGTGAAAGTCAGTTTTCTGAGAAGACTCTTCGATAACTGGAATGGAGAAACCAGGGTACCTACAGTCACTCCCTTCACCATGAATGACAATTTCATGGTCCTCCCAGATGAACTTCAAAAGTTGATGCAATGTGGATGGAACTGCTCCAACAGCATGGATCCATGGTCTTCCTAGCAATAAGTTGTAACCTGTAGATATACCCATCACCTGGAATTCAGTGACAAATTCTGCAGGCCCTATTTGGATACACAAGTCTACTTCTCTCATGGTCTCTCTTTGCGAACCATCAAACGCCCTTACATTCATGCGGCTTTGACGGATTTTCCCTACATTATAATTTAGCTGAGTAAGGGTTGATAATGGGCAGATATTAAGTCCTGAGCCATTATCAATCAATACTCGCGCTACAAACTTGCCCCTGCATTTGACGGTGATATACAAGGCACGGTTGTGCATAACCCCTTCGAGTGGCAACTCTTCTTCTCGAAAAGAGATTTGATGACTCCCAATGACATGACTTACCATGGTGGCCAGATTCTCACCACTTGTTCCCGTCGGCACATATGCTTCATCAAGTACCTTCAACAGTGCTTTTCGATGGTACTCAGAACTCATTAATAGAGCCCAAACAGAAATTTGAGTAGGAGTCTTCTCCAAATGTTTGACAATGGAATACTCCTTAGGCTGCATTCTTCGCCAAAACTCTTCAGCCTCACCCTCTGTGATCGGCCTTTTTTTGTTCTCCTTTCTTCGTGTCTCTTGAGTTAGTTCTTCTGGAATGTAGCATCTTCCAGAGCGTGTCATCCCTTGTGCGGTGGCCACCTGGACAACAAACCTTTCTTCGAACTGCTCATTGCTTTTTTCCTTCACCAAAGCAAATGCCTGATGAGGTGCAGTTATTACAACAAACTCTGGGCGGGCCTTTATGGTCAATGAGGCTACTGTTGGTATAAGTGAGTTGACAGCCGCTTCACCGATAGTCCCATTAGCAAGCCAATCTTCGTCTCTTTCAATCATGTTGATGGTAGCTCCTCCATGATTCGGCAATGGGTTAAGGTTCACATTGGGGGCAGGGGCTTGGAGAGTGATGACCCTGTTATCGATCAAGTCTTGAATCTTATGTTTCAGATTGATACATCCTTCTGTATCATGTCCTGCCCCTCCAGAATGGTATGCACAACGTTGATCTGCTCGGAAGAACTTTGTTGTGGGATTAATTGCCCTTGCGTCCACTGGTTGGATCAATCCTGCCGCTCTTAGACGCTCAAAGAGTTGGGTACGCGTTTCTGCCAAAGGAGTGAAAACTCTGGGAGGGTTTCTTTCGAGGTTAGGGCGGGGTAGATTGTTGGCATTTGGGTTGTTTTGTCCAGGATTTTGGTAGACTGGTGCATTGGCTTGGTGATTTGGTAGTATATTTTGGCAGGTTAGTGGTTGATTTTGGTAGATGGGCGGTGGTGCTTGGTAGTTCTGTTGTGCATAGTAGATTGGGATTGGAGCTTGTGGAGATGATGGGTAAATATTTGAGGTGGGGAATCGGTTGGAGTTTCCAATGGCAGAACCAGACCCAAAATACCTTTGCGGCCTTGGCCTCGGGCTAAAAGATACAGCAGACACGTCCTCTTTCTTTTTCCTAGCGAATCATGTGGCCATGGATGGTGAGGATTTGTTGGCGGCATGCAAGGCAGTGAGACTTGTAACCTTTCCAGACTTTAGGCCATTTTCTATTGCCTCTCCCATTCTGACCAGCTCCGAAAACTTCTGTCCCATCATAGGCAACATCCTTTCATAATACTCGGGCTCCTGAGCTCGAATAAAAGCAGAGGTTATTTCATTTTCGGTCATCACGGGTTGTACCTTTGCAGCTTCTTTCCTCCAGCGGCACACATATTCACGATAGTCCTCCGTGGACTTTTGCTTGATTTTTTCCAAATAATATCTATCAGGGACAGCTTCGACATTAAACTGGAATCTCTCCAATAAATCTTTGGCCAGAGCCCCCCATGTAGACCACTGACGGAGTTCTTGAGATGTGAACCATTCTAACGCCTCCCCGCTGAGGCTTCGACTAAACAACCTCATAATCAATGCATCATTTTTCCCGATACCCACGAGTTTATCACAATAATCTCGTAGGTGAGCCATAGGGTTCCCAATACCATTGAAGGTTTCAAATTTTGGAATTTTGTAACCTTCGGGTATTTCCAAGTCAGGGTGCATGCAAAGGTCCTCATACTCAAGTCCTGTTATCTTCCTCGAAGATTGGACACTTTTTACTGCCTCGGAGATGGCATCCTTCATGATATTCATTTCTTGTTCACGTTTTTCTTCTCTCAACCTCCACTCCTTCTCCATTTCTTCATAGTGATCCAGCTCCGGCTGAACGGGAAAGCTAGGACATGGTTCAGGGATTGTATAGGCTGGTGGAGTTTGGAATGTTACGAAAGGGTATGCAGGCTGGCTAGGCAAAACACGTGGATTATCAGTAGCTGGGGGTGGGATTTGGTCGGTTGGTGTGAAGTTTTGGGAGTGATTAGTATTAAGTGCTTGGTTCTGATTTGGTAATGGTGGTGGTGTTTGGTAGGAAGTGCTGGCGTAAGGAGCATTGGATACAGTTAAATAAATGGTATGAGGATTAGGGGTGGAAGTGATTGGTCCTGTGGTATGGGTAGGGAAATGGTTAGGTAATGGGGAACTTAGTGATGGAAAAGGAGGAGGCGGTCTTCTAGTTTCAAGGGGGGGTTCATTTGATGCAATGGCCAGTTTGGCCAGATCTTTGGTCTGTTGAAGCTCTTCCTGCATGTCTGCAATTCGTTGCATTAACTGAGAGATCAACTCACTCTGATCAGCGAGTTCAGCATTTCTGATAGTCACATCCACTATTCCTGTTTCTTCAGAAGTACCAGTCATTTTGCTCTTGCCTTTCTCCAGAGAATGGTCAGGGAAGGATGGTATGATTGTTTTAGATCTTGTAAAGTAGGAATGGTCAGCCAGTTTGATTTCAACACAGATCAGTTTTTACCTGTAGAGAAGAACAACTCAAAAGACATATGTGTTAGTTTTTGTTTTTAACGAGATATGCAAATAAGATGACATAATAATAACCACACAAGTGTCATTTTGCTTTAAGCAGATTAATCCACGAAAATATTTTGGGTGAACGGGAGGACTCAAATGGAAAGAAATTTTTCTTGTAATTGAATTGGAAAGGTGGAAAGGTCGACTTGCATAGAATCTTGCTATTTTCTCCCACTCATATGCTTTTGTAGGTGAAAGTCTTCAGAATCATTCACTAATAAGAGAGAATAAAAATCAAAAAGATAAGGACCGAGCCTTAAGTAGGCTGCCTACGTATCCACCAAGGAAATCAGGCCCGACGTAGTTCGAATTACATAAAATAACCTAAACGTACCCTTCCCATAATTGATAGAGAGACTAGGCTCGAAAAGAGCTTCATACGTACCCTCTATGGGATCAAGTCTCG